CATTACAAAGTAGATTTTAGTGGTTGTGTGTAGTCCATGTGTCGCTGGTGATAAGTTTCACTGGACGACGCCCGTAATTTTCTACGATCTGTTTCGAAAGTAGGCTGGAAAACTGAGCGGCGCCGTCTGCAATCCGAATAAGTTCGGCTGGAAAAGATCTGTCTGCGTCACTTTCGATGCAGGGAATCTCCACATTAAGCTTTCGTTAGACCAGTAGATGCAGTGGATGCCTGAGAGAAGGCCAATATTCGGGTCAGCACGAAGTGTTCTTGGGGAGCAATGGTATCACTCCTCTCTTATAAGACACATGGTTCCTCTCAAGCGATATCACTCTTGTTGTGTCCGTAAAGTACGAACCCAGTTGTGAGTTGCGTCGTGCAGCGGGCACAGCTGTAGCACCTTTCGGTGCCTAGCTGCCATGCCACCCTAAGGTTGCACGAGGGCTGGGATATTGCCAGGTTGCCCAAGCCTAGACAGGGGAAGTCGAGTGGCAGAGGTCGGTTTCGAACCGACGGACCTTCCGGTCAGCTCTAACCACTTGGTCCATCTCGCACAACGCAACGTAGAGCAACGTTGGTAGGAACACACTCGTTAGGCTGAAAAATAGCAGCGCACAGATGACAGTGTCACAGAGATTGGCTGGTTGTCTGAGCATGTCCAAACTTCGTTCAATGGTTACACAGCGATGAACACATGTTTCACACACATGGTACCGAAGGAAGGCGAACACGGATGTCACATGCACCCATATGACCAAGTCACTGTTGGTCTAGTGCGAACCAACTCTGAACAGAGTCCTGATTGGATGCGCGACACCCCGAAGAGACCTCAAAATGTATTATGGATGCGCGATAATGTGCACGATGAGAATGTTGGGCGTTCAGCCGGCTCTTAGCGGACAACCTGCGACAAACACTACCGAGGATCTTCGCATATGGACAAAAACAAATCAAGTGGTGACTAACTGATCAGCCCCATGCGATTCCTCGCGCGATCCATGCAAGGAACGATAAGAGACGTCATCCAGTTCCTCCTTATAGAGTTTATTCGGGGGGATGTTCTGTATTCTGTTCTGTATTTTGAAAAGCAACTTTATAGGTTGAACGGATGACAGCTAAGCGGATAGATCTAGCTATGACGTCAGCATATAGACTATACTTCGACACATGTGTGTCCGTTTTACCCCTTTACAGGACTGCTGTTATACCACCCACATTACCTAGTAAGTAGGTGAGCTGGTTGGGTTATCCACCCTTCAAACGAATCAAAGAGGAAAAAAACTGAATTGACAATGCTGCGACTGTGGGATTAGGGGTTTAGGTTGAGATCTAGTCCCGTGAGTGAATCCAGTTAACGCTGTTCCATCCTTTTTAAAAATTGTTGGTCGCGCACTTTGGAAGATTCGAATCCGCGACCTTTCAGCTCATAGCTGAGCGTTATACAACCCGGTAGCTGGTGGTTGATCAGCCGAGTGATTAGGGCACACTAAGACAGAATGGAGCGCAAATTAGTCTTCAGTCACACAGCTCAAGTCACATGAGCTGTGCTTGACTGTCGGTTCGAGGGAGGACTTCTAAGACGAAAGACTCATACAGCTTTTGAGATTTTCTTTGATTAGGGTCCATGAGTAGTGCTGCAGGCCCTTATTACCCTTGAAACCCCTGAGATACGAACTACTGGTGAATGCCTTCGAGGAATATGAGATTTTCAACTCAGATGAGTTCACGTGGAAAATGAAAACTCAATTTAGTGTTAACAATCATCTTCCGTTTTATCCAATACGTCAACACAACACTCAGTGTGCCCGAATATTGTGGAAGCATGTATCAAACAAACGTCATTCGTCCACTTGACTACGAGGCAACGGGACGAACTTGTGGCGCGGTTGGAGCGCCAGAGTTGCAATTCGACTGGAGAACAATTGACTGGCTAGATCAAGCATTTCTGCATTTTCCTCTCATTCAGCGAAACTTCGTTCTGTTCCCCCAACTAAAACGTGTCGGGATTGTTGTCTGAGCCTCCGTGTGTAACACCACATACTGTTGCTCTTTTGAAAAAAAACATTGCAAATTGTAGAGTGACTAATCTGACCTGCGTACACACGAACAACTAGGCCAAGAACTTTCCATGAAGCTTCTGTTTGTGCTCTCTCTCTATTCAACGCCACATTTCCATTCCCATAGAGCATGTTCAAGAAGTTCGACCGCGACAAGAACGGCAGCTTCGATGCTTTCGAACTTCGTGACGTCATGAGATCGCTGGGTAAGTCTATGCGTGGCTATTCTATTGCTGCAGATGCGTTGTCGTAGCCAGTAGAGACTTAGAAGTTTGCTGCAGTTTTACGTGCGACGACACTGACCTTGGGATACCACCCTTTACACGGAACGGTTTTAAGCTCAAGGAGTCAGTTCCATCTTATGAGCGCGCAGTCAGTCTTATATGTGCCTGTGAGCACCAAAGATATAAAGGGAACAGCATACGGTGCTCGAATGCGGAAGCTTATGGCCCATTGATCACGACCATTTCACCGAGGTGTAAGCACCCTTCCTTAGTCCGTTGGCTTGCAAGCTAATTGCCAAACTCGGCAAACGGACCGAGAGTTTTCATTCGCTTAATCGATTTTCTCATCACCTAATTACTCCCACTTTGCACCCAAGAACCACTGAAGGACAGCGAATTCGATATCCAATTTCCCGCCGAGGGCCAGATACAATCATCCAAGCACTATTTTATTCCTGTCAATCACTGAGCATTTCCTTTTCGTCTATTAGGTTTCCAGGTTAGCAACAAAGTCTACAACGCGATCGTGCAACGTTATGCGGACAGCGCCGGTCGAATCATGTTCGATGACTACATTCTTTTGCTTGTTCGACTGGTAACTGTGGTGGAAACATTCAAAGCCCAGGAACGATTGAACGATGGCCGAGCCGTGTTCGGGCTGGAAGATGTAAGTTGTCATCATTTTAGTTTTTTTCGTTTGTGGCTCACACCATAAAGTTCTCTCAATCCAGCGATTTCTCGTAAAGAATTTGAGGAGAATGTCATCATCATCATCATCGACAGCATGACATCAGTGTTCAACACCGATGCTTCACTGCCGTACAACCATGATTTATTTGAAAGGCTTATTGTAGAGAAAAGAGTAAAGATGGACGGGGAAGGGGTTTAGTGCTAGCTTACCACAATCATTCCTATACTTCCAGACACTCACTCAGGTGATCTAGATAGAAACTGAATGTGAAGAACAAGCGACCTTCTAGTGGGATTGTGTGAGCGCGTATGAGTTCGTGGTATCTTGCTTCGCTGGCTACCGTCAATACCCTAGACATGTGGAGTGATTTTTAGCAAATATTCACTCAGGTGAGAATAACCAAACTACACGCAGCTATAAGAAAACGGGATTTGCTCCCGTGCATCCGATAGGAATGTGGACGAAGAGAAGTTGATCCAAGGCGTCGAACAGAAAGGCAAGGGACAAGAAGACACGCCGGCGAGTTGCACATCCACTAGCTATACTAGGATGGAGCCAATACGAACACCACCTTCTGAATGCATGTCCGGTTTCAGTGGCCTCATTGTCTCCGCGTTTGTCAGGCGAAGAATACTGGGTAGTTTCCAGCGGTCGGTGATGCTCTAAGCTGTTCATTTGCAGTCCTAGACAGACCGTTCGGCGAACTCTCCAACGCACTGATGACTGCCCTTCTTTTTCTCCAAGTCTGTTGACTAACTTGGGCAAACATATGGCCCCTGACTACGGATCAGAAAGCCTTGTCTGATAAATCTCCCATCCCCCGTCACAGGCATTTCCGAGGCAAAGGTGTCATCGGGTCCTAAAACCCTCAGCCGTACTTCCGTGCTTCCGTCTTTAATGGGTCTCATTGGAGGGATCGGACACGTGGCCTCACACGTTTGCCTACCGGTTTTTGCTCACTTTATGAGCTTCAGTGAAGATGAGGACGCTCCAGTGGCTGGGATATTCTATTCTACCTATGAAAAGCGCATACATACACGCACTGGTACTTGCAGATGCGGCTTGAAATGGCTGATTGCTGTTCGGAATATACGCTCAATCCGGCTGGGTAGAAACGTCGCGCGGTACACTCGAGACAGCGGTGGATTCTAGTTGGGACATCATCGCCTGCAATCAACCACCGCTTGACTCCGTTGAGAGTTGTAGCTCCCAGGTGGACGATTACTTCCAACCGAAAACACCACAATGTGCACATCTTTCGAAACAATTTCCAGATTCAGTTGCACTGGAAGATCAGGTTCGATCAGTGACTACTCACGCAGTCAGCGGGAAAGAAAAAAGTACTAAAAAGACGAACATTGATCAAATTCATGATTCCAAATGAAAGATCCACATAACCCGGGCCTCAACCTATGTTTCTTATGTTTACTGAGGCGCTACCACAAAAGGCATGTTCGGAAAGGGATTAGCAATCTTTCAGAGCCCATCTGGTAAACAAATCGTTGTTGTACCGGCCTCATTTATTCGGAGTAAGGACAGCTGACCTGCTGTTTGTCCACAACCACTTCGGACTGCAACACCTCATTCTGCTATGCTGTGCTTTGACTTTAAACTTTCCATATTATACACCAGACAGTGCTCAATCTGTTTGACTAGATCCGAGCCGCGTTCCGAGCCGGAATTCCCATATGTAGTCAGCTGGTGCGAAAATGAGACAAATACCAGTGTAACGGTAATGCTACTGATGGAGAGGCATGCGAGTAGTATGGTTTCTTGTAAATTCGCTTTGCGTCTCTTCGAAAAGGGAGATCTATTGCGGAATTGGTGGAGCCGCTTTGTAGCATTTGCTTGGATTTGAGTAACAGGCAATAAAAAGTCAGGAAAATTCAGGAAGACACGTTCAAGGGAAGATCGATGTTCAGTTTTTGTAAACAAGATGCAAATGAGAGTCTTGCTTCCCTGTCCAATAGTCTGTAACTGGTTAGTTGGCATTTTCTAATGAATGACTCCGCAGCGAAGGCCTGCTTCCTTCCACCAGTTATGAACCACGCTAGAAGCAGCTACCAACTGTGTTCACCTGTGACGTGTAAGTCATATATTGGTTGTGGTGACCCAGTCAGCTCACTGGCGCTGTCAACAGGCAAAAGTTTTCTGTCCGATCGCCTTACTACTCATTTCACCCGCAAGTGAGCGTAGGACGCTCATCTAAGGGCTGATTTCAGGCACAATTCTCTTTTTTCGGTAGTTATTTTTGACGATAACTCTGTGCGGTGGCGAATTACGTGACCGAGGCGTAGCTATTCACAATGCCATGGTCATACTCATCTACAGTACTCGTGTTTACAGCGGTTAGCTCTCTGTAGTGGTCCTTTTGGTCTGTCCCGTTATATCCTGGAACTCCGGACCTTTCGCTGACGACACCACGTCACCAACTACACTGTTACCTGAAGGAAAAAGTACAAAGCGTTACCATGATCCTAAGACGTACCTTTTCACGAACAGGCACCGCATTGCATCATCCGCAGTGCGTGGTTGGTCAGGTGACCTTTGATCTATTCGCCGAGCTTCACACTTAGCTTGCAAATGTCTCATCACCAATCGAGGTAACATCACTGCGCGAACTGATGGTTTCAACTCGATTGGTGACGAAATATTTGCAAGCTCACCGCCAAGCTCGGCGAGCAAATCATCACTCAACGCACCCGGGCAACAAACATTGCAGTACATTCCCATCCGACCGTTTCCGGTCTTCGCATTAGTGCTCGATGTAGAGGATTTCTATTCCAATGCGATGACTCTTTCCCGTCTAGCTGATCTGAACACTAGTACATGATTTTGTCCAATTTAACTTCAACTTCCGTATTTCTCCCCGTCGCAACAGTTTGTTCGATCGACGATCTACATTTGACGAACCAATCCCGCCCAACATGCCGAATTCAATCCTCGACGTTGCCGACTTGTGATTCTCCTGTTCTGCCCTCCAGACATTACAGACAAAA